ATATTTTAAGCAAATATCAAAAGGTATATTTGTAATTTACCTATAAATAAATAAATTGCGCAAGTTCGAAAAATAAAATTTAAAAAAACGTAAATTTGGTTTAAAAAAAAAAGAAAAAGAAAAAAAGAAACCTCTACATCATACATTGATGAAATGCAGGCAGGTCTCCAAATTTTTTGGTTTGGTTTTCAGAAATTTGTCTCATAATTATTTTTAAATAAAAAATTATTTTGGTGAAATAAATGAATAATAAAAATCACTTATCATTTTTACATTATTTTATTTAGGAGGGCAAAAATAATTTATAAAAATTTAAAAATATTTTTTTGATATTTATTTTTATCAAATTAATTTTTATTTTTTCAAAATAAAAATTTTGAAATATTTTTTTCAAAAACAAACCAAACAAGGCTATCACCAAGAACTAACAAAATCATGAATGTATAGAGAGAGAGAAAAAAAATCAAGTATAATAATTATTTTTTTTTCTATTTATTTTCCTTTCATAAATTCAAAATTCCTTGACCCAATTATATTTGTTTTAACTCGATTTTAATATAAATAGTTTGAGAGAGCATTGATTGGGTAAGGATCAGCAGGTATAGGAGTAGATAGGTCAAAATTGTTAAGTTCATAATAAAGTATGAAATTGTATCACTAAAATAATTAAATTTAAAAATAAAAATTCACATGAAAAATCCAAAAAAATCTGATCCTTTTACCATCCTTGAAACAAATCCAAACAACATAAGAATGATGTGTCTGTCATGGGGCTTATGGAAGGTAGGGTTTGGAAAGGAGCATCATATGCTCATGCAATATGTGAATTACCATGTTTGAGACCAAACCCAGCATGTGGGAGTGGGTCAGTTTTGTGTGTTAAAACTCACAACATACATATCCTCGGATTTTGGTTTGGTTTTCAGAAATTTGTCTCATAATTATTTTTAAATAAAAAATTATTTTGGTGAAATAAATGAAAAATAAAAATCACTTATCATTTTTATATTATTTTATTTAGGAGGGTAAAAATAATTTATAAAAATTTAAAAATATTTTTTTGATATTTATTTTTATCAAATTAATTTTTATTTTTTCAAAAGAAAAATTTTGAAATATTTTTTTCAAAAACAAACCAAACAAGGCTATCACCAAGAACTAACAAAATCATGAATGTATAGAGAGAGAAAAAAAAATCAAGTATAATAATTATTTTTTTTCTATTTGTTTTCCTTTCATAAATTCAAAATTCCTTGACCCAATTATATTTGTTTTAACTCGATTTTAATATAAATGATTTGAGAGAGCATTGATTGGGTAAGGATCAGGTATAGTAGTAGATAGGTCAAAATTGTTAAGTTCATAATAAAGTATGAAATTGTATCACTATAATTATTAAATTTAAAAATAAAAATTCACATGAAAAATCCAAAAAAATCTGATCCTTTTACCATCCTTGAAACAAATCCAAACAACATAAGAATGATGTGTCTGTCATGGGGCTTATGGAAGGTAGGGTTTGGAAAGGAGCATCATATGCTCATGCAATATGTGAATTACCATGTTTGAGACCAAACCCAGCATGTGGGAGTGGGTCAGTTTTGTGTGTTAAAACTCACAACATACATATCCTCGGATGTACTACTGTTTTTGTGGGCATATAACCTTCCCCAGTAGGAGGAAGGATCGCCTCCGGTCCAAAATTTAGATTGGAGGGCACTATTTAAGACCGTGAGACTTATCACATATCCTTTTTGATAATTTAAGTCGTTCATTTTTGTCAGACATTTCGTATATTTTATTCGTACAAAAAATTAGGTCGATCTGATAATCGTAACCTATTCAATTTAATGTGTTTTTCATCCAAAAAAATAGACAATAATTGTGTTTTTAAAAATAAACCGTATGTTTTTTTGGGTTACAAATGTAATAAATTGAACAAATTATAGTTATTGAATCGACCTAATTTCTTGTGCCAGTAAAATATACGAAATGTCCGACAAAATAAACAGTTTAAATTAATGAAATAAGATTCGTAACCAGTCTTACATGTCTAAACAACACTCTCCCGTCTAAATTTTGACATGGAGGAATCCTCCTACTCGAGCCCACAGAAACAGTAGTACATCCCATCCCGGGACATGTATGTTGCAAGTTTTAACACATAAAACTGACCCACTCCACATGCTGAGTATGGTTTCAAACATAAAAGACACTCACTGTCCATGCCCCACATAAAATTAAAACACAGAATTGTAGCTAGAAAATAGGTGTATGGTACAAATTTATCTATTCAATCACATAAGACATTCTAGACAAGTTTCTATGTAAACTTTCTGTGTTAGTAGTATTTTTCTTGTCATATGGATCCAATATATCACGTAGTTGGGAAAATTATTTGATAATTTTGGGATAAATTACTTTCTGTGATGTCCAAAATTAATATTTATTAGTTAGAAACAGACCAAGTGCTTTTTTGTTGCCTTTTCGAAAGGCTACTTGACAAGTGTTTGTCAACTAACATTCGAAAAATAGGTTAAAAATTAATTTTTTTTAATTTTTTTGATTTTGTTTTTAAAATAAATAAATAAAGAAAGAGGTAATTTGACCTAAAAAAAATTCAAAATTTGACTTTTAATTTAGATGCCAAAATAGTTGTATGTCTGTTCATTAGTATTTTATGATTTATTTAATTATTTTTGAACCATGTAAATATTTAGTTCTTAATATTAGAGAGACATGGGTAAATATCCAGATAATGCTTGACCATCCATATCAACTATCCAGGTCACCCAAGTTAAATGAAATCACGAGAATGCTATGCCCCCAATCTGTACATCAACAGACATTTCTTTCATTTATTTCTAAATTTTTCTATGCATGCATGTTCATTAAATTGAATTTCAGGCTGCCAGCTTAGCAATGCCTGCAGAGATGAGTAGATCTCTCATGTTCGACTCTCACCACATAAAATATTTGAGTTCAACTCATATGTAAGTTTGGACAAACTATACCCATGATCAAGAGTGTGAGTTCAAATTTCCATATGTATTCGAGTCTGCCCTATATAATTAAATGACTCTAATATATAACACCACCTAAGATTTGCAAGCTATTGCACATAATGTCTTGTTCTTAAGGACAAGGTGAATCTATTAGAATTCTCCTTCATTAAATAAATAAAAAAAAAGTAGTTAATTACACTTTACATTCTTCAATTACCATTGAAATATCATCTTATCCCAACTTTAAAACAAGGGTAAATTATGTAAATCGTTTATATAGTCTACACGATGTGTCAATTTGATACTTATTATTTTAATTTGTTTGATTTTGTCTCTTAATTTAACTGATTGTTTCATATTAGTCTAATAAATAATGGCCGTTAAAGTTTGGTGAATGAAAACTCAAACGATGTGTCAATTTAATCCATGATATGTCAATTTGGTTCTTGTCAAAATGGACCAAATTAAAACAATATAGACCAAATTGACATATCATGTAAACTATAAAGACTAAATTGATACATCGTTTGAGCACGTGACAACTTTCCGTCTACTAAATTTAACGACCGTTATTTGTTAAATTAATATGACACAATCAATTAAATTAAGAGATAAAATTAAACAAATTAAAATAATAAAAACTAAAAATTGACATAGCGTATTAATTAGGAAGACTATTTCCATAATTTATCCTTAAATAGTCGAAAATGGTACAAACACCCAAAAGTGAGCAATTTTGACAATTGCAAGAAGAAGCTGATATTGAGTGATAGTACAGTGTAATTAAACCTTAAAAAATCACAAAAGATCTGTGCGATGCTATCTCCATAATAAGTGGACCCTCCCAGAAAGAAAAAAATGAAACTAGTTGTCAGTTAACAACAGCCATCTAATATTTCACATAGGCCCAAAGTTTTTTAAGATTATCAAAATGAAATCTTATTTTACTATGCTTTTGAAAAATTAATTAGAATGATATCTTATTTGACTATGCTTTTGAAAAATTAAGACATTCGGCAACAAAAATTTGTACCATTACATTTTCTTGATAGATCTTAAGAAAAAGATGAATTGACCAAACAGTTGAATCACCTTTATTAAGGGTGGGTGCGGGTCAGGTGCGGCTACGGAACTTTCAATGTCATTCGTTCGCCAGATTGGCGAATTGGAGAAAATCAATCCACATCCGTCCACCAATCCGACGGATGTGGATTGAGCGGATTGGCAGATTGATGGATGTGAATCGGTTTGGCGGTTTAAAATTTTATAAATTTTTAACATAATTCAATTTGTGCACTTTCGTAAAAAATAAAAATAACAGTCAATGACTTAACAGAATATTACAATCACTGCATGCCGCATTCAAAAAAATAAAGTTTGAAACTTTATCCACATATTACAATCACAGCATACCTCATCCACATAAAACATTATAATCTGTAGTTCTTAAAATATTAAAATAATTCAAACTACCAAAACCATGAACAGAGCAGTAATAGAGATTGCATCTATATTTGTTTTTAAAAATAAAAACCAACAAACATATATAATCTTTTTTATTTATTATTTTTAGAGTTAGATTTAAAAACTAAAATATACAGATAAATAATACATTTATTTTTTTCAATTCAAAAAATACATTTTAGTTGAAAACTCTTTTTCAACAAAACGTATTCAACAGAATATTTAAACTCATTTTCAATTGAAAACACAAATAGAATATACAAACAAATTAAAAATACAAAGTCTTACAAATTACCAGAGATGTTCGACAGTTTGGCGGTTCGGTTGCGGCCAAATGAACCTTAAATCCGCCATCCATCCAAAACTAGGCGGATTGAAAAAAATCAATCCGCAACCGTCCGCCAATCATCACGCATCCGTCCAAAATGTGACGGATCGATTCGGTTCGGTCAATTTGAACAGATCGGTATATCCGCTACTTACCCTTAACCTCTATTGCATAATCCAAGACAAAATTTGCATAGAAAGCAAGTTATGAGAGCATAAGCAATAAAATTCCATAAAAGTTGAGAAAACAAATCAATACACACCACAATTATGAATTTCTATCTGATAGTTGAGGCACTACAACAAAACAAAACAAAATAGAAATTGGTTTGAATGAGAATTAAAGTGGGAAAGCATTACAAGTTCATGATCTAATCTTCAACATAGACTAACCAAGTTACAAACATCAGACAATCACAGAGGCAAGTTTTGCAAGAATGGAGGCAACTAAACTAGTGTTCCAGGACATACCAAAAGGAAGGGAGAGAGTGCATGACAACGAGTTTCATCGTCTTCCTCGAATCATTTCCCGCCAAAAAATCTACTCTTTATGATCAAGATCATCTTTGCCAGAGTTGAAAGGAAATTCATCAAACTGTTCAGAAAAGTGATCATGTTCCTCACACAAGCTCTTCAATGACTGATAAACACTGTACATAGAAGGCCTATCCTTGGGCCTAGAGGCCACACAAGTACAAGCAACCTTGAGGAATTGCAAGATTTGATCATCATGGCCTCTTCCACAGAGAGACTTATCCGTGGCATCGTTGCTTCGACCCGAGCCACAGAGCTGTGTAACCCAATCCACCAGGTTCCCCTTGAACCCTTCTTCTGCATTACTAACTTCCAAAGCCTTCTGTCCTGTCACCAACTCCAGAAGCACCACCCCGAAACTATAAACATCTCCTTTCATTGATGCAATCATCGTGCTTGGATATTCAGGCGGTACATACCCGAATTCCCCCATGTCTCCATTGACAAAAGTGCTACTACCGTTCGAATCCACAGCACCAACAAGCCTTGCCAACCCAAAGTCCGATATACGAGCATCAAAATCATCATCCGCAACAATCACATTGGAACTTATGTTTTGGTGAAGGTAAGGGGGTTGGCATCCATGGTGAAGCCAAGCAAGCCCTCTTGCTGCACCTACACCAATCCTAACCCTAGCCGGCCAATCCAATGAACCATTATTCATAACACCGATACCATTTCCGTGCAAAAGCGAATACAATGTCCCATTAGACATGTGTTTATACACCAAAAGCCTCTCATCTTCCACAACACAAAACCCCAACAATGGCACCAAATTGGGGTGTCTCAACTGACCCAACCTATTCATCTCGGATCGAAATTGCTTCTCACTAAGCTTACAAACAATCAATCGCTTGATCTCCAATGCCGAACCATCCTGTAAAATCGCCTTATAAGAAACCCCTGTTCTTGTGGTTACAGCAATGCTTTCTGGGTCAAAATTGTTAGTAGCTGCCATTAAATCATTCAATTTGATTTTAACAATGGGTTTTTGAAACAATGACACTTGAACAAGCTTGTGTGCTCTCAATCTCTCAATCCAACTGCATTGATCTTTGCTGAGACCACCACCACCACCACCACCACAAGCTTTCCTTTTTCTGCGATTTGACAACACGAAAAACCACCAGACAGCGAAACCCAAAAGCAGAGACCCTGCAGCACCGAGAACCCCCGCAGCAATAATAATCGCAAGGTTTTTATTGCTCAATTTTCCACAGCTCGATCCAATCGGATTCCCACAGAGCCCACCATTCCCGGTGAAGTCCTCGGGCGGGAATTTGGACAAATCGGAGGGAATTGAACCGGAGAGATCGTTGTTGGCGACCGAGAACTTCTTCAACCGGTCGAGCAGACCCAACTCGTACGGAATCGCACCGGACAACTTGTTATCGTTCAAAACGAGATTGTTGAGGAACTTACAATTCACCATTTCAGGAGGGATCGAACCGGAGAGGTGATTACCGGAGAGATCTAGGGTGACCAAGTAAGGCAACCAGGTGCAGATTTGGGGAGGGATGGAACCGGAGAGGTGGTTACCGGAGAGATCGAGGTTTTGGAGGCTCTGACAGAACTTGAGGGGTTCAGGGAGAGAACCGGCGAGGGACATGGAGGGGAGTTGGAGGCTGATGAGGCGGTTCTCTTTCTCGTTCCAGCAGGAAACGCCGACCAGCTGCTTGCATATGAAGGTGACGGAGGTGTTGGTGAAGATCCATGAGGAGAGTTTGGATTGTGGGTCGCTGATAGAGTTCTTGAAGCCTTCCAGACACTTGACATCGTCTTCAATGGCGGTGATGAAGGTGCAGAGAGAAAGGAAGAGGATGAGAAGAGTTGGAGAGGAGAATGTGAGGTGGGTTTTCATGGTGGTTGGGTTGGGTTGGGAGGTTTAGAATTTGGAAATGGAGAGGAGTGACGGAAGAGATTGGGCGGCCATTGACTGTGATTTGAGGTAACTGAAGAGGATTGTAGCGTTTGACTGTAATATTAAACTCTCTCTCTCTCTCTCTCTCTCGCTCTCTCTGTTTTCTTTGTTTTTTAAAGAGAATTTTCTCAGTCCACAATTTGGACGGAAGGGCTGTTTGGATGCGTAGCATTTATCATTAGTTCTATTTTAATAATTTAAATTATTTATTTTATTAAAAATTTTCCACCTCAGTGACCTGTTATTAATTACTTGCCCGAAACAGTCCATGCAAGCATCGCCAGCTAGGGATGAGGATATTCAATTTGCAATATATTTTTGGGAAGGAACCGGCTCTTCAGCTCAATAGATGATTTTATTATTATTATTGTTTTTGGGATTAATGCAATAAATTTAATATGTTATAGTTATTAAATTAATTTAATTTTTTTATAGATAGAATACATAAAATATTTAATAAAATAAATAATTTAAATTATCAAAACAAAATTTATAATAAGTTTTATAAGCCCAAACAGCCCTTCCATCTAAATTTGAACCGGAGAGAATCATTGATTATATTTTCGTTTTATGTTTTTGTTTTCTGGTTTTTTCAAAGTACTAAAATGTAATTATGGTGTTCTTGGTGATGTAAAAGGTTGTGACAGCGAACTACAGCGGCGTCGTTTTTGAGATAGGCCGTGTAGTTTGTGCACAAGGAAGACTTGGGTAGCTTGAATAATGTTTGAGGGCCACAATTTTTGTGGCTCAAATGGCTCAAAACTGTCAAAACGACGTCGTTTTGAGCACAAAACATGCCAAAACGACGTCGTTTTGACAGTTTTGATAATAATATTGATAATTACTTTTTAAAATCTCAAACATATAAAAATGAAAAAATTAGTGAAACATCCTCTAATTTTGTATATTAGGAGAGGTCCAAGATATTTTTTTGTAGGAAAATGATTTGTCCCTCGAAATTCTTCCCCCCGAATCCCCCTAATGGCCAAAACAACGTCGTTTTGGCCATTTTTTTTTCTTCTTCCATTTTCAACCTGCAACGCAGGAGAGGGAGAGGGAGAGAAGAGAAAGAGAGAAGAAGAGGGGAAGAGATCGTCGCCCAGCCCGTCACCGCTGATCGCCCAGCCCGTCGCCCAGGTCCGATCGTCGCAGCAGCAGCTCCGCCGTCGCCTCCAGACCGCCTCCGCCTCCTCCCACTGTTATAGCCCCCTCCAGTCCACTCCTCCTCCTCATCCTTCCTCCTCCTCCTCATTCCTTCTCTTCTCCTTCTCTGCTTCTGAAAAAAAAATAGAAATTAGGGGGATTCGGGGGAGCTCGTTTTAAGATTTCTTAACATTTTCACAGAGAAAATGTGATTCAGAGAAATTTTGACTCCGACTCAGAGAAATTTCAAAAATTGAAATTTCTTTAAGTCGGAGCGAAATTTCTCTGAGTCGGACAAAATTTTCTTGAGTCGAATTTTCTATGTGAAATATTGAGTTACCTTAACTATTATGAAAATATTGTATGCCTTTTATCTTATAAAGCTTAATATTAGAAAAAAAAAATTCCCTTATAAAAAATCATTCTAAAATTTTTTTATGAAAAATTACTCAAAAAATCTGGACTCGTTTTGACTGGTTTTTGAAGTCAGATATAACTTATAAGACCAAATTAAATTACTTATGGTTTGGAAAGTGATGTTTTTGTTCAAACATGACATGGTGTTGTTTGACAAGTTGGTTTGTGGCTAAAATAGTCACAAAAGATAAAATAGGTTATTTTAGATATAACAAATAAAATATCACATCTAACTTATAATCATTACATTCTTCTCTCACAAAAAAAGTCAAAAAAATCAAAAAGTCAAAAAGCCCTTCTCAAACCAAGCTTTTTTCTTTCTTCTTCCATTTTCGACCTGCAACGCAGAAGAGGGAGAGGGAGAGAAGAGAAAGAGAGAAGAAGAGGGGAAGAGATCGTCACCCAGCCCGTCGTCGCGATCGCCCAGCCCGTCGACCAGGTCCGATCGTCGCAGCAGCAGCTCCGCCGTCGCCTCCAGACCGCCTCCGCCTCCTCTCACTGTTATGGCCCCCTCTAGTCCACTCCTCCTCCTCCTCCTCCTCCTTCCTCCTCCTCCTCCTCATTCCTTCTCTTCTCCTTCTCTGCTTCTGAAAAAAAAAAAGAAATTAGGGGGATTCGGGGGAGCTCGTTTTAAGATTTTTTAACATTTTCACAGAGAAAATGTGATTCAGAGAAATTTTGACTCCGACTCAGAGAAATTTCAAAAATTAAAATTTCTTTAAGTCGGAGCGAAATTTCTCTGAGTCGGACAAAATTTTCTTGAGTCGAATTTTCTATGTGAAATATTGAGTTACCTTAACTATTATGAAAATATTGTATGCCTTTTATCTTATAAAGCTTAATATTAGAAAAAAAAAATTCCCTTATAAAAAATCATTCTAAAATTTTTTTATGAAAAATTACTCAAAAAATCTGGACTCGTTTTGACTGGTTTTTGAAGTCAGATATAACTTATAAGACCAAATTAAATTACTTATGGTTTGGAAAGTGATGTTTTTGTTCAAACATGACATGGTGTTGTTTGACAAGTTGGTTTGTGGCTAAAATAGTCACAAAAGATAAAATAGGTTATTTTAGATATAACAAATAAAATATCACACCTAACTCATAATCATTACATTCTTCTCTCACAAAAAAAGCTAAAAAAATCAAAAAGTCAAAAAACCCTTCTCAAACCAAGCTTTTGTAGCCCAGGCTAAAATAGTCAAAAAAGTTAAAAAGTCAAAAAGCTAACTCACTTTCCAAACGAAGGTATAAACAATTTAATATATTTGCTGATAATTTTTAAATTTTTATAGAAAAAAAAAGTGCAAAACGGAGAGTGAAAAAAAAAAATGAATTCTTTATATGAGTTAAATTTTTTTTTAAATTTTGATTTTGACATTAACTATATTAGTTTCTTCTCAAATGGATGCTTATTAATTAATTATATATATATATATATATATTTTCTAGTAATCAATTATTGGAAAACAGTAGACAAATAAAAATTGTATACCAAAACATTATTTTGAATAGGAGGGTTAAACAAACCAAAATATATATATTTTCAAATTTTAAGAAAATTAGTATAATTGATTTTACTTAAAAATTATCACTACAAAAAATTAAGGTTTTAAAGATTAAAATTTAGGGACAAAATTATTTTTTAAGAGTCAAATATTTTTTTTTGCGAAAAGTGTTATTATATTTTTAGTAACGAAAATTGAACATTAGCGATGAATTATTATCTTTTGGGACTAAATTTTTTGTTTCAAAAAATGAACCATTTTGAGACCAAATTATTTTGTCCCTAAAAGTCTATTTATTAGTGACATTTTCAAATTTTTGTTGTTAAAAGCCTTGTTTTTTATTTTTCGGGACGACCTTTTAGAAACTATCCCCACGACGATAGAATTTATCCATAAATATCTTTTGTAATAAAATTTTCACTTTTAGAGACAAAAAAATTTAATGTCTAAAACTCTTATATGTTATAGTGTATAAAATGTATCACATCCTCATATAATAAAATAGAGGAAAATTATACAATCTTATCATAAAAATACAGAAGTTTTCATGAACTTATAATGTCATAAAAATGTGTAAGTTAGACACAAATTCGTGTGAATCTTAAGTTTTAACAAATTTACGTGAATTTGTATTCAACTTACACATTTTATAAGATCACTTATGTAAATTTACAAAAACTTACGTAATTTTGTGATAAAATTACATACAATATACATTACACACCGAAATATTTTGCCATAATAAATATATAAAAGATAAAAACTGAAAAAGTTTAACATAACCATATTTGTTTTGTTATAATCCCTTTGTTCTCTTTTGTTTATGGGAGAAATGCCCCATCGCTTCATTTTATCACCATCAATTGCACCTCTAATAAAGTGACAAATAATATCAACCAATTAACTCTCTTCAAACTCTTCTATCTCCTTTTAAAATTATTTGCCACCACATATATATATATATATATTATATAAGTAAAATGGGTTTTTAGTGAGGAGTCTTGTGAGAATTTCAATATCTCATACAAATTTTCTTAATTTTAAACAATTAAGAAATCTCCATTGGTTAACTTCCATTTAGCCATAAAAAAATAAAACTCTAATTAGTCTATGATTTATTTGATTATCCCACATCGGGAAAAGAAAAAAAAAATGAGTTGTTTTACTTATATAAAATGAATCTTATACTCCCATTTAATATTGTAGTTTTGTGTATGTTTCAATTCAGTATAGTTTAAATTTTAAAATAAAGTTTAAAAGTTTTAATTAATTAATTTTTGTGTAAGTTGGTTGGTCTTTTGACCTAATCGATTAGGCTTAATCATTTTTTATTTGATTGATTTATTGGTTTAACAGCGATTTTAGTAGTTTTATCAAAATATATTAGTTAGATTTGTTTGATTCAAAATAAACTAAAGATTGATTTGATTAATGATTGAACAACTAAGATTACTTGATTAGAAATAAATTTCTCGCTCAAGCAATTGTTAAATTTTATTTTATAATCTTACATCGAGAAAAGAAAGAAAAAGTGAACCTTATACTCCCATTTAATATAAGTCAGTTGTTTCATTTATATAAAGTGAACCTTATACTCTCATTTAATATTGTAGCATTGTACGTACTTCAATTCATGATAGTTTAAATTTTAAAATTAAAATAACAATTAAAAGTTTTAATTAAGTAATTTTTATATAAGTTGGTTGGTCTTTTGAACTAACTGATTAGGCTAAACCGTTTTCGATTTGATTGATTCGCTGGTTTAATTGCGATTTCTCATACTGATTTTCTTAATTTTAAACAATTAAAAAAAATATTCATTGGCTAGCTTTCATCCTATATCGGTAGAAGTAGGAAAAAGTGAGTTGTTTCATTTATATAAAGTGAATCTTATACTCCCATTTAATATTATAGTGTTATGCATAGTTTAGTTCAAGACAGTTTAAATTTTAAAATAAAAACTTTAATTAGTCTATGATTTATTTTATAATCCCATATAGCGTCTCTGGTTTAGACACAACCCAATGTATGTTTCGGATCCGGATTTCA